AGGAATTAGGGGGTAGTGTTGAGGAGGCAGGCTATAATGACATGTTCCTCATTTTAATCCTAATTAAGTTGTATGTGTGCATTCTTAATGATCATGTAGATTTTCATGTTCATGTGGCATCATCTTCATCTTCATTTTCATCTTCGTGTGGCATAGGTAGTGAAATGACGAAAGTTTTAGGAATAAAAAAAAACTTTTATTAATAGTTCTTCAAAGCATGTTTTAAGGATAAATACTCATTCAGAAAGCTTCTTTCCAGATATTACAAACAGTAGGAAAAGAAAGTCAGGCAGAGCGACTATTACGACAGGAGATTCTCAAGTTGAAGCAACAACTGCAGACCATTAGTATGGTAGATCAGTTTGCTTCATACGCTAAGGTGCAACGCAAGATTAACGCTCTTAGTCAGCAATATAAGGATAAAGGTAGTGTGTTTTATGGATTATAAATATAATTTTTCCTCTCTACCAGTGGTGTCAGGTTGTTATTTTGGTATACTTGTCTGTAGGTTATTAAAGAAAGGTATCAACTTAATTCTCAAGTAAATTAGAATTGTACAAATACCTGAAGCTCAGCATTGACTTTTTATGTCACATCTGTAAACACTCATAAACTTTCACAGTAAAGGCTTAATAAGCTGTGCTCAATTTAATTTTTATAATATACCAGGGATTACAATTAAATAAAGACTACTTTTGCTGTCTTTCCCCAATCTTTATAGCAATGGAAAGAAGTGTTGGAGAACAGCGTGTACGAATGGTCCTAGGAGGAACATTACGGACCATAGTAGGGCTCTTGTGTGTATGGCTCATCTGGGAACATAGATCAGATCCTGTGGTTTCTCTACCAACAAATCTTGTATGGCCCTTTGGACCCATCTTGGCATTGCCTTCCTGTGAAGTTGGCCAGGTAGGAATTATGTAAAGATGATTTCCCAAGATTGTTGCCTTTGAGTTATTTATTTTTTTGAAAATTCAATATCAAATAAATGTAAGGAGTTACAAATACCCTCTCAGTATTAATTACAATTTTCTGTAAGTATTAACAGTTCATCAACTTATCTCCCAAAATGATTATCCTTCATATAGTTTTCGATATTAGGCACTGTAATAATGCCATAGTCAGTCATATATTTTTTCTCTCTCTCTCTTTTCCTTTCTTCTTTTTACTTTTTCTATCTTTGTTTTCACAGTTATTGTATCAAATCAATCAAATATTATTGAAATACTTGCCTCTGTAGCCACTTTACTGGACTTTACTTACCATGATATATAAATGTATAGCAGTGCAAATGACACAACACAATGTAACATCCTGCTTTTATCCTTGAATCCTTTGGGCAGCACAGTTAGCTCTGCATTTGCAAATATGGGAACCATAACACATTAGATTAAATACAGGGTGCCATTTACCTATATTTAGTGATAAATGTTTTTTTTCTTATTCTTTTCTTACTTTTCTTTTATTAATAATGTTATTTTCCTGGAAATTTACCAGTAGATTTCTAACATATAAATACTTATCAATGTTTGCCTCAACAGATAAGTGTCATGATATGGCTTGCAGTTGTCCGAACTGTCTGCAACAAAGTAAACACTGCACTTACATCACCGAGAACAACACCACAGCGGGCCACTCCAATCTTCAATCCTCCTCCTGTATCTCCAACAGCTGTGCCTGTAGCTCCTCCATTAGATTAAATTATATTTTTTTCTAATTATTACATGCCAGATCTATGCTATCATTGTTATATATATATGATGAAAACATTTTGAAGCTTAGTGTTACAAGATTGTATATTGAAAATGTTTAGAAGTCACAAGCTTTGTTAGTTTTCTTGTGTGACATAGGCCCTTCAATTTTTGTTTGTCCTTTTTTGTAGTTAGTCTTTTAGTTTGATATGTGGTGTCCTACATCACATACTTTTTTATTTTTATATTTCATATTGATTTAATTTACCAAGCCCTATGTTTTTTTGTTTTTGTTTTTCTGTAGGTGTATATGTATTTACATCGGGGTATTTGTGTGTGTGTGTGCTTCAGTTCCAGAAAAGAAATCTGTAATAATAGCTATAAATATATGTAATTGTTGTTTTTTCATTTAAGTGTTTCTTTTTCATTCTTCCTTTTCTTTTTATAATTATAGACATTATCATTTTCTTAACGATAATATTCCAAATTGTCATTATTTTTTGCACCATCCGATATGTATAAACCCATAGTGAGCATGGCAAGTAAATACATGTCATGCCCACTTTAAGTTTAGTTTATTAACCCATTGCCGCCGGGGATGGCATGTACGTACATGCCATGCCCACTGAGTCGATTTGTTCAATTGTTTTTACACATAGATGGCTACACTTGTACTAAGTATCCAATGAGCCAATTATAGTACTGCCTGTCTCGCCCGTTCACCCTTTTCATCGATTTACAAAAATATTTATTATCCTAATTTGCTGTTAAAAATAACACCATCTATATTTATAGCACTAGTAAAAATATGTTTTTTCCCGCCAATTCAAGGAAAGGTGAAATCAGGACTAGCAGAGTCATCTATGGACAGAGATATTTCACAAAAATATAAAAAATGAGTACTGTATTTCCACCTGCGTGTAGAGGCATTTCACAAAACAGTGAACGCTTCATTTTCATAGCGGCAATGAGTGAATAATTATGCTCAACATTTATTTGGGTTTGACTTGAAGGTTTGACATTTGGTCTGCTGGGTTGTTGAATCAAGTAATCAATATCTTTATATTTTCACTTAGAAGACCTTTCAGGCAGATTCATTATCTACTTGTTTAGTTGTCATTTTTCATAGAAATATAGCATTATTAAAGTGATGTGAGTACTGCACCCATTATTCTGGTTCCTGATTAATGAAATGTAATGATTGTTATTCTCTTTTTCTTCTATCTTTAATTTGTAAAAAAAATATTTATATCATCCCAGAACGTTGTTTTAATGTAAAGAATAGTTTTGTACTACATGTTTTCACAGTAATAGTTTAACACTGATTAATGAATCACTTAATAATTGGTTAAAGTGCCATAAAGATGTTAGTTACTTATTCAATATCTATAACAATATGATTAAAAGCTAAATTTTACATTTTCTTAGACTATATCCCATAAATTTAGGTTATATTCATCAGAGAATGATCTTCATTTTCCATATGTATTTTTTCAAAATATCATCATGGGTTACAGTCAAAAGTCTTGCTATATCTTTTGACTGTTAATTCATCAATAATCTTCCAGTACTTTTCATCAAGTTTAATAGAAGGTTTCTTCATAGTTCATGCTTATGATCTTTTTTATGACTATAATATCAGTAACTGCGTATAAATGTGTTGCTGTCAACAAAGCTTGAGGTGTAAATGAATTGGGGAAGAACAGAACAGCAAAACAAAAGGAATGTGGAAGAGCCAACAGATTTCATTCTCTCTCAGTAATGTTCATAAAGGTCTTGAAAGTGCATTCATTATCTGTACAAGGTCCAAGATAAAAATGATATCAGAAGAGTGCATCATTTGTATATAGTAAGATGATACATTAGACTTCTGAGGAAGAGATAATTATCTCTTGTAATAATCTGAAAATATTTGTTACCTAACAGTTTTGGTAACACTTAGTGGTTTTACAGTAATTTTGACTGTTTAATTTATGGCAATGTATGCTTATGTCAAATATAGTTTACTAAACTACAGTTTGTGTTTATTTTTAATAATGTAACACCCAGTGTATATATACACCAGACCCTACTTTCTTAAGTTAAGCCCCCAAAATAGTGAGAAAATTAAATGCTAGAGTAAGAGCTTAAATTCACATGTTAACTGATTCAGTAGTTCATATATGCTCAACCTTATTTCACTGTAAGACTTTTACAAGACCTACTAACAATCCTCTTTTTTTATGTTATAACTGGAAAAGCATACTGTAGAAATGGTAAGTCTCAGTACCCTGTGCAGTTCATATTCACTCTTCTTACTCTTTCACTTATGTGTTCTATTATGTAATACTCCTATTCAGTTTCACAAGCCAATGACTAAATACAAGTATTTTCTATTTATTTCTTATAGTAGATCTTAAAAATGGGTAAGAATTAAAATACCAATCTACTATCCCTTTTCTATTGCATAGTCGCATGCTGCTTTGTAATTTGATATGTAAATACTATTGGTAACTAAAGACCTGTGATTCAGTTACTTGGTATTTATATTTACTCACTGCTTCTTTAGCCTTTATTGACCCAGGACTTAATGAATAAGAGCAGATTAACCCAATGTCAGCAGGTTTATGTACTGTTCCATTCAGATTTTAGTGAGTTTATATTGACATTGTTATCATTCTCATTGATATTTTATGATGATGAAATTGTTATTAAAATATTAATAACATCAAAGACAATAAAATAATTGAAATGAAGCTTTCAAAAATTTTGAAACTTCAAATAGAGCAAAATTCTTAATTTTATTAATTGTGACTATTGTATTTTTTCTTTTTACATAAAACTATTTGACTGCACTACTCAATATTCAACACTTGCCTTGCATCATCAAATATGAAATGAAGACTGAATTATAATTCTGTGCACTAGAATAAAGTATCCTTCAGGCAAACTTGGACAATATAATGTAAAGCTTTAATGTTTGTATGTGTGCTGTTACTGCATATTTAGTCACCTGTATGAAAACGTGAGGTATGTGCATAGTCATATATATTTATCTTACAGCAAAATGTGTGTGAAAATCTGCTCACTTTTAGTATACCAGCATGCTTAAAAACTTAATTATTTATAACAAATATTGCAGCTACCGAAGTACACACCAAAAGCATTATTTGAGAAACCCATCAGTACCAATTATTTGTAGTAAAATAATACAGATGTACATGTATACCATTTTTTCACAACCTGCAATGTGTGTTTGAGTGCTCAAATAAAATACTCCATTCTCACTAGAAATACACTAATATTGTGCTCTGTCATTTTTATGAACAGTGAGAAAAGTCACCCATTTTGTGGAAAATAACATAAAAACTATTAATATTGATGTATTTGCAGTGGAGGGGAATCTGACAGAGAAGAAACCTATGAGAAAATATGAAATGTTCCCTTCATAGAATAACTAATTATATTAAAACTGTGGTGTTCTTATTTATCTGTGATGTAAAATTGATCTTATAAACCTCAAGGCATGAATATTAGAGAAACTATCTATAAAAACAAAGCACTTTAATTTAAAACAAATTAATTTCACATCACCACATACTCTATATATACATTCAAAACAATTTTTTTCTGCTTTTGCCACTTTTTTGCTGACAGTTTTAGATTATTAAATACCTATAGATGATTTTTGTACATGTATACCATTTTTTCACAACCTGCAATGTGTGTTTGAGTGCTCAAATAAAATACTCCATTCTCACTAGAAATACACTAATATTGTGCTCTGTCATTTTTATGAACAGTGAGAAAAGTCACCCATTTTAACCCTATGAGAAAATATGAAATGTTCCCTTCATAGAATAACTAATTATATTAAAACTGTGGTGTTCTTATTTATCTGTGATGTAAAATTGATCTTATAACCTCAAGGCATGAATATTAGAGAAACTATCTATAAAAACAAAGCACTTTAATTTAAAACAAATTAATTTCACATCACCACATACTCTATATATACATTCAAAACAATTTTTTTCTGCTTTTGCCACTTTTTTGCTGACAGTTTTAGATTATTAAATACCTATAGATGATTTTTGTACATGTATCACTTTTACAAAATATTTTTTTTCCTTAAAAGTATAACTTATGTAGATTTTTTCAGTATAAATGTCATTGTTATAGTTTATTTTTCACATATAAATATAGCTTTTGGATTATTTTTTTATACATAAATATCACCATCTCCCATTCTGTTACAGTAATGCCCCAATTGTTAAATGTGATTATTTACATGTTATATACTACTTTAGCCATTAATATTAACACTTACTGGAAAGAAGAAAATTACCAAGTTTTTTTTATTCTATATTTTGTGCAAGCATTATATATTTATACATATTTTTTTAAAGCTAACAATATATAATATACTATATAATGACAACCAATAAAAAGATATAGAAAAACATCTAATCAATGTGAGAATGCATGCATTGTATTGCACAAAGAACTTTGGTTGATAAATTGTATTAATGATGCAATATACATTTATGGAAAATATTTTTAGTTTTAAAATAAGACACATGCTATTCTAATGCAACTGCTTTGTATGCTGCAGGTACTAGAGGAAACATATCAATAATAAACCTATATAAACACAGTAACATGGACTATAAACTAAGGTAAAATTAAACACAGCTAAAGTAAGAGAAAAACATTATGGAACAAGGAATGATAAAACCTGAATGGATCAAATCCATTTCAGTTTGAATGTCTGACAGTGAGTCCAGTTTGACTCAAAATGTCATAATTTAGTATTCCTGTCCCATGGCTCTTTACATTCAAAACTTTATGACCCTTTCAAGATTGAGATAATGAATAGGATCCATTGGTTTAATAATAAATGATCTTAGCTGGCTATGTTAACATGGTCATATGCTGCTAGTTGATAGCCAAGAAATCCAACAACAAAGCAAGATACTGTTATTTTTATTGACATTACAATTATTATAATGTTCTTAAAATTACTAATAGCAGTATAAGATAAAAGAAAATATTCCTAAAAATCAAGGAAAAGGGTAAATAGGTGATAGAGGAAGAACCAGTAACTAACTAATTGTGATTATGTATTTGATGAGCCATTTGTCTATAAAGACATTTAATAAACTCAACACAGTAGGCATGACATGACCATACATAGATGGGTTTAATTTGGACAGAATATATATGCAACTGTCACTTACCTTACAAATTATTACCAATATAGATTATAATAAAAAGATGAGACTAGATGATTTCTTCTAAAATATAATATTCTCTTATAAGTGACAGTACAATTCATGTCATATTTTACCTGCATCTCCCTAAAATAAGGAATCTTTCATGGACACATTTGTGATCATTATTCTGATATTTTTCATATTATCAAATAATTACAAAACACCTGGTGCTTTAATATCAAAGAATCATTTTAAATGGCACACATATATCATAAATTATTATTAAGAAAACCTCAAAGCTGATAATATTCTGGCATAAAACTTGAAACTACATCTTTCTTATTTGTAAAAGACATGCTACTACTTAATAATACATACAATATCTCAGGTTATTACTTACATAGTTAACAAATACATTTTCATCAAAAGGCCACAGCTTTCTTTTGACCATGAATATCATAGAACCAACTCTCATAAGCTGAGGAAAATGTAACGGAGCCCTTGGATATAACATCTGATTTGGAAACATTGTACAGTTCCATCAAAGCCTTTACATCTCCCAAAGCATTATGAGCATCATATGTTTTCTTAAGAACCATTTGCACTACTGTACTTTGCTTATAGTTTGGGAGATTTGGGAATATTACCCTAAACTGAACTAATGTATTTACAAAACCCAAGATGTGTTGCTTAAAACTATCTACAAGGTTTTCCTCTTTAATTGCATAAAACAATCTCCTGTAATCAAATGTAGCATTGTGGGCATACAAAACAACAGGTGATCTTAACTGTATCCACTCCAGGAATTTGTGAAGTGCTTCTGAACGAGTAACTGCATATACAGGCTTGCCTCTGTATTTCAATGTCTGCTGTTCAAAAGTTAGGCCTGTAACTGCTGAAGCTCTTGGGTCTATTCTTTGGTTTGGTATTACATAAATGCTGAATTCCTCATTTTTGTCTGTTGCCCCAATCTGTACAATACCACAGTCATTCCTAAAGGATGTAGTCTCCAAGTCAAAGAAGACCTTGCTATGACTCTGCAAATCATTTATATCCATTTCCTCTAGCTTTGGCTTCTTTACCTTGCATTGTGTTTTCTTTGAGCATTTTGTAGTTGTTGTAGTTGTACTGGGTACTTCAATTTTTTTGTTTTCTTTGGTATTTTTTCCAGTATCTGGCATGCTGTGGACCCTTTTTTTCTTCTGTACTGGTTCATAATCACTTTTTTCACTCCTATTCCTCTTACACTTCTGTGATGGTTTCAAGTTTTTAAATGGTTTACTGTCTTGAACGGCATCATTGCTTACAACATTAACTTCCTTCTTCTTCTTGTCATTTGCTGGCTGATGTGGCTGGATTTCCTTTAGTACATCTGAATTATTCTTTTGTGTTATATTAACAGTATCTGCTTTTTTATTCACATTCTGAGAAGACTTTACAAGTTCACATGACTTGTAAGCCAAAGTAGAGAATGTGTCTTTTAAATCCATGATGAGATGTCTTTTACTGAAGCTGATTTTGCCTTCCTGGCTGACATTTTTTTGTAATTCATCACACCAAGTTCCTTTACACATGGTATGATCATTAAATGCATGCGGTGCTATAGCTATTATATTCGCCTCAAGTTCTTTTACACTGCTTCTGTGGTGACCAAGTACATTGCTAAATAGTTTCTCTAAATGCTGAACTTTCTTCAAGGTCAGTCTTTTATGTTTCTTCTGAAGACATTGTAAAGTTGTCTTGAGATGCATTTTGACAGATGAAAAATCAGTCCACTTATTGAGGCCATCTGACTTGAAAATCTCATTACTCGCTTCGTTCTCCATTTTAATGTAGTCTAGAGGATTATGAATAATTGCAGTACAGAATAGTGAAATTATTTCCAGGACAGGATTCTAGTTGGATGTTTTATGCTGCTTTTTATCAACTTTTATTTTAATCTGCTCTTCTTGTTGAACTGCCCAAGTCTACAAAAAATAAGAAAAAAAAATAAAATAAAAAAAATAAAGTGAAACAATATATCTCAATATAAATTCACAAACAGTACAAACTTTCCATAAGCATGCATAGCGACTCCATACATTACGCTAAATCAAATCATTTTATTTACAAGGTATAAATGGATATAAATGGGAAAATAATTCAATATTCCGCAAGCACGGAATCATGTTATATGTCAGTGAGATTAGAACTTTGTAGTGGAATTGTAAACTTCTCTTCTTTTTTTTTTTATTATTTATGCATTGATTTCTATTTGCAATTAATCCTGCAAAAAAAAAAATAAAAAAATTAATAATTGCTGTAACAGAAGTGGCTATCATTGGGGGTTCTTATACTGTTGTAAATTTTATTAATTGGGCTTACATTTACTCATTTATTTATTTACTTATCTTTATTTATTTATTTCATTATTTTATTTCATTATTTTTATCTTCCTTTTATTTTTTTTCTTCACCTAAGCAATTAGCATACAAGGAAGTAAATCACCTATAAATCTTAATAAAGTAGAAAAATAGGGAATGTATTGTGCTCTTTTCTTAAATTTCTAAGCCAATTTCTGGAAAAAAAAAAATAAAATAGCATTATTAAGCTACATCGAGACACAGATGATATATATTATTATTAATTGAACCAAAAAAAAAAAAACAGAAATGCACTAAAGATATGATTTTTTTTGTATAACAAAAATGCACTAAAGATTTTTTTTTTTCTTTAATTCCTAATATATAATCCCTACAAAACAAAATCACAGTCTATAATTATATTCAAGCCCGATTTACTAAGTTTTAATTCGGAATCCGCGTCAAATATTTCAAAATGACGTGAACATTTTGAATAAAACTTCATAAAAATCCTAAAAGCCACTCCCCCATGAAGAAAATTATTGTATGAGCTTCCTACGTCGTGTAATTAAGGAGTCAAGCGAAGGAATTAAGGACTCGGTTCGCTTCCAAGCAGGAATTTTTCCCAAAAGAGAACTTACAAATCCCGCGGAAGTTGGCGCCTTCGTGGATCCGCTTCGAAATGGCGGGAATTTTTGTATTTGGACGAATTTGAATTTTATGAACCGATTGCCATGTTTCTTTCCTTCTTTTTTTTTTTTTTTTGTTCATC